TAATAATAATAATAATAATAATAATAATAATAATAATAATAATAATAATGGCATACCTTTAGTTCCAAAAAAGTTATGAAACTTTTCTAGGAATGGGATCTTCTAGTTCGAATATCAAATACAAATCGGCAGCCTTGTGTGATTAAGACAGGAAATTTAAATATGGGCTTAGAGGTTAAAAATGCTTGCAGTTGCTGGGCATGCTGACATACACCTTTCATCCCAGCACTTGGGAGGCGGGGGTGGAGGCAGAGGCAGGCAGATCTCTGAGCTTGAGACCAACATGGTCTACAGACAAGTTCCAGGACAGCCAGGGCTCTGTTAAACTGAGAACCCATCTTGAAAACAAAACAAAACAAAACAGTCTTGCTGCTATTGCAGGGAACCAGACTTCAGTTCCCAGCACCCCCACTGGGAAACTTGTAACTGCAGTTCCAGGGTCTCCAATGCTCTCTTCTGGCCTCTAAGAGTACCTGCACCACATAGACATACATACATGTAGACATACACACCAATCAAAATTCTTAAATAAAAATTACTTTCATTTTACGTATGAATGTGACTGAGAAAATGTCTGCAGTTTGTACATGCAGGAGCTGCCGAAGGTCAGAAGGTGGTGTTGGATCCTTAGGAGCTGGAGCTATAGGCAGCTATAAGCTGCTATGTGGGTGCCTGAGAACCAAGCCTGAGTCCTTTGCAAGAGCAGCAAGTGCTCTTTAACCTCTGTTCTCACATACCCAAGTCTTTCCATTATCAGGAATTCCAATTACTTACCACAAATAAGGCTCCTCCAGCACCATGTTGCACTGCTGTCTTATGCAAATTCCTTGTATGTCGCCCCTAAAGTTTAAAATTTTAAGAAAACTTGGTCACAAATTTTAAGAAAAGTTTCATGAAGAAATATTTTGAGTCATAATTTAAAACAAGGGAATCAAGTCATCTAGGGAGTCATCTTAGGAGAGATGCCCTTCTTTTTCAGAAGTAACAGGAAACAGATGCATAAAGGCACATTATTAACTCACCTGTGGGAGTAGTGGAAGAACCAACCAAGACCCAAACCAGAGCTGAACACAGGTGCGTGTCATGCACAGTCTACACACACTCAGCTACATACAACTCAGAGTTTTTGACTGTCGTTCCTTTTGTCTGAGTTAATGAGGCGTCAGCTTTTTAACATGGTAAAGTTTTGTTTGCCTGAGACAGGCTCTCCCTGTGCAGTCCTGTTATCCCGGGCTCTCCTGTAGACCAGGCTGGCCTTATGGGGATCCTCCTGCCTCTGCCTCCAAGACTAAAGGTTTGTTCCAGCACACCTGGACCTAGCTACGCACCAATAGTCACATTACACTCTTCTAAAAATCTTTGTTATATGGTCTCCCTATGTAGGCTAAGCTGGCCTTTCAGTTTGTCCTTTTGTCTCGGCCTCCCTGAGGCTGGACTGATTGTGGGAGGTTACCAGACCTGCCAGCCTTTTCAGTTCTTTACTGATTAGGTCAGCAACTCCAGCCACACCCCTTATGTTCTAAAGCCATGCAGACTGAGGAGGTACAGCTGCTCCGGAAAGAATCTGACTGTTGTCTTGTTCCTCTCCTGTACTGTGGACCTCCCACCCGAAACAATTAAACTATTATTCTAAATCCTACCGTTTCTGAATTCTGTGAACCACAAATGGCAGGACACTGAATTAAAGCAACCATAGAACTGGCTACCAGGGAGGCTACGTGCAAGTGATGTGATACAACATACTTAACTTTTCCACGGATCAAAGGAGCACTTCAGTTGTAGAAATAAATTTCCATAGTACCCACTGCTTTAACTAGAAAAACCTAAGTTACAGACTGTGAAACACATGTACAACATACAATGGTGAAAACAAAGGTTTTTGGAGGGGCTTTGCCCCTTCTCTGTCCTCACCACCACAACTCACCCACCCATTCACCCCTTGGGCAGCTGGTGGATAAACAAGCCTTACTTTATGCTTTGTTTTAAATATATAATTTTTAAAAACAATGCAACATAGTCAAGGCTGTGAAAATGACGCTAAGCTTAGAAAAGAGCCAAGCTTAGAAAAGAGCCAGTGAAGTCACATTAGCTGAGCAGACAATAAAATATAAAAACAAATTTGAATAACAGAATTACTTAAGTAAACATTGAGGAAAAAATATTTCATAAAAATGGAAGAAATGGTTTTAGCCAGGTGGTGATGGCACATGCCTTTCACACCAGCATTCAGGAGGCAGAGGCAGGTGTATCTCAGTGAGTTTGAGGCCAGCCTGGTCTACAGAGCTCCAGGACAGCCAAGGCTACAGAGAAACCCTATCTCAAACAAACAAACCAAAGAAAGGGTTAATTTTAAAGCAGGGAAAATATCTAATCACTCTTTTTCCCCTGCTGAGCCTTACATCATCATTTAGTTAACATTGTAGCCACTTCTTGAGTACTAACCATTACTTTAAGGGTTGCTGTCACCTGGGATCAGCTCTGACTCCTGTCCTTATGTCCTTTTCCCTCTGGCATCATCTACTCACTATGCTGATGACTGCCAAGTCTTACACACTCTTAGTGATAAACGGATAACAGCTAGAAAAGGTATTAAGTGTGTAAAGCCAATGAGGAATATTAATAAAGATCACAAACATTTAAAAATTCTCTAGCAATTAAAAGCATGCAATTTAAAGTGCAATTGCCAGCTTAAATTAGAAAAAGGTTTGGTCTGAGATTTTTTTTAAAGACAACATTCCATTTTGTTGAGGGCATGGAAGAAATGAGTTTGCTGATGCATTAGGCAAACACTCATATGAGCCTTTTAGGGAAGCAAACTAGTATGATTTATGGAAAACCTGGAAAAATCGCACACACACTCTCTCTCTGTTTGAGACAAAGTTTCTCTATGTAGCCCTGGCTGTCCTGGAACTTGCTTTGTAGACCAGGCTAGCCTCAAACTCACAGCAATCTGCTTGCCTGTTTCCTGAGTGCCGGCTAATCCCAGCCTACAATCTTAGCACTAAGAAGGCTGAGGGGAGGGTGTCATGAGTCTGGGAATACTCAAGGCCTGTCTCAAAAAGAGAGGAAGGGTGCTAGGGACGCTCTGCTGATGACCTTAGGCAGCCGGGCACACATGGTGCACAGATACACACACAGGTGAAACACCCACACATAAAAGACAACAAAATAAGCTAAAGATAATCATCATCATCATCATCATCATCCCTATTATGACAACTAAACACACTAATAAAAAATGAATGCCATAAGTAATTGTCACCATCATTTTTATTGTAAGATTGTAAGGGCTCATATATTTTTCTCTATTTCCCAAATTCCTACTTAACACTGATACACAATGTGAAAAAGATTGAGTTAAAATAAAACATTCACAAATGAAACGCATCAAGCTTTTTTTTGGTCAATATTGACCCCTTTTTTATTTATTCAGAATGTTTCCTGTTCAAATAAATACAGAGTTGGAGAGATGGCTCGGTGGTTAAGAGCACTTCTGCAGAGGACTCAGGTTTGTGACCCAGCACCCACATGGTGACTTATAATTGTCTAACTCCACTTCCAGGGGATCCAGTGCTCTCTTCCGGCCTCTGTGGGCACCAGGCACACATGCGGTGCACATACACACATGTAGGCAAAACACTTATCACATAAAATGAAAATAAACCTTTAAAGTAAATACAGAGGCAAGTTTTAAAAAGCTGTTCATTTGCTTTCAAGAACTTCCTAGTACAACATGCCTCTTGCACGGCTCACCTTCATCCCTCTCTGGAAGAGGAAACAAGAATAAACACCTGGTACAGAGCCCCAGATCCTACTTTATGGATGTGAAATGCCCACAGTGCTGTAAAATCACCACGGTCCCTAGCCATGAACAAAAACCAATGTTTTAATTGCAAATCACTGAGGACTGATTAGAAGGGTGGGGAGGGAAAGCTAACTGGTACAAACTCAGGACCATCAGGTTTTATTTTTCCCAGGTAGGAGTTTAGATTAATATTTTGCCTCTTCCTAATATGCAACCTTGTACTTAATACCTTTCTTTTTTTTTTTAGTGTGTTTATATGTGTGTGTGAGTTTCTGTCGGTAGAGTGTGCACACCCATGAAGGTCAGAAGTGGAGTTATAGGGAGCTGGGAGCCACAAAATGTGTGCTGGGATGCAAACTCTGGTCCTCAGCTCAGAGCATTAGGGGCTCTTAACTGCTGAGGCACTGGCTCTCAATCTCTCACTTTATTTTAATATTTAAATTTTATACGAATAGGTGTTTTGCCTGAATGTATTCTGTACTCTATGTGCAAGACAAAGCTGGTGCCTTTGGAAGCCAAAAGGAGTGTTGGATCCCCTAGAACTGGAGTTAGAATGGTTCTAAGACACCATGAGGCTGCTGGGAATGTAACACTACCACCTTCTCACCCTCCCAGCCCCCCACTTCTCCAACCCCAGCCTCTGGAAGAGCAGCCAGTGCTCTTAACCACTGAGCTGTCTCTCCAGCCCCTCATTGAATATGTTTAAAGTTAATTAATTTGTTTGGTTTTTTTTCAAGACAGGGTTTTTGTTTGTTTTTTGTCTTGTTTTGTTTTGTGTAGTCCTGGCTGTCTTAGAACTAGCTCTGTAAAACAGACTAGCCTCAAACTCACAGAGATCTGCCTGACTCTGCCTTCTGAGATCTGGGTGTAAAGGTATAAGCTCTTGTTTTTTTGTTTATAACATGAGTGTCTTTTTACTGGGTTATTTTAAGATAATGGCATGACTCTGAAAGAACTTAACATGTTAAAGCATTGTTACTACCTAGCAGACACAAGATAAAACTTTACCTGAAAGACAGACTTAACAGATAAGTTGTCTTTTGTTTATGACAATCTTAACAAAGGGTCATTGTCACAACAGAACACATCAGTGACAGGTTTTTTTCCCACATTTGCAAGTAACCAGTTTTTATATTGTCATTAGGCTGTGACTGCTTCTGATATGACTGTATTTTTAGATAGATGAAAAAACATCTACTTCCTCTCTGCTGAAATATATAAATTCCCTTTCACTTAAAGGAAGTGGAAGGGGATGGGCGTGGCAGTGGTGTTCCCATGAGGGACTTTATGTTCCTAAGTTATTCACACTAATAGTGTATCTCCACCTATGAGCTTATCTGACACCAGAGGCCAAAACAACCCTTTCATGCATGACACACCAAAGCAAGCCTCCGCTTTTACACAAGCCACTCCACTCTGACTCTAGTCCCAGCTCCCCAGCTGGCCTGCTGAATTCAATTTAATATAACCCTTCCAGTAGGGTGCCTCTCTTGTTACATATGAGCCCCAGCCTGTCTCCCAAGTGCCAAGATTATATGTGTAAACCATGACATGCAGCTAACAGTCTTTACAGACAACATCCTACAGCCATGATTGGGAAAATATTTCAGTATACTTTCCCTCTCACTTAGTAGTCACTAAGTCTCACATATTTGAGCAGAAAAATTTGTAACTCTTGTTCCTGCTATTGCATTCCCCAGCCCTGTTTTTATCCCAGTTCTCCCTCCACCCCAGATTACTACCAAGAACATGGATCCCTGACTGTCTCATGCTTTTCCACATCTATAGGGTCTCCCTAAAATTCTGTCCGGCAGAAGACTGAAGGTGGTAGCACTGGAATCAATCTGAACACGCTATGATCTGCAAATAACTAACTGCTAACTGAATACCAAACGTAAGTTATGGAAAAAGCCTTTGGGCTGTTCGGCCTCCTCTTCCTCCCTCTCGTTTCTTCTCCATCCTACCATGCACTTCACTCCCTGTACAGAAACTACTTAAACTTACAGCGCTATTGCCCTCTACATACCACTCATCC